CCTGCTGAAGTGCTTATGTAGGTGGGAGCTAATAAGAGCTCTGTCACTGTTTTCCTTAAGAAACGCTCCTGGCAGCCATGGGCAGTCAAAGTCTCACTAATGGAGAAATGGTGCCTGCCTATGCCTGCCTCTTCCTTCCTTGCTCCTGTGCTGCTCACCTTCACCCTTGTTCATACCTTGTACTCCTTTGTGCTGGGACAAACACTTTTCTGTCTGCTATTACTTACCTTAATGAGGTTACTTTTAGCCCAGATAAGTCTTGTGTGAATGCTTGGGATAGGAGTTTTTGAGTGTGCATATCAGGGGGGAATACACATCTGGGAGTGAGAAGGCATCAGATCCAGCTCAGCCAGCACACACTGCTCCAGCAGCTGCAGTGTTAGGATGGTATGGGACATCCCTGAGCAAGCGGCAACAGACCCAGTACTTGTTTAAATGGCTGAAGCAGAGCGAAGTGTAGCAATCCAAATTGCAACACAAGCAAGGAAACTTGTGTTTTCATCAGACCATGGACCTCGGGAAAGATGACTTGTAACCCTTGTGACAAATGGGGCAGAAGAAAGGGGACCTGGGGGAATCCTTGAACAAATACTGTCAAAGGGTACCTCCTTGGGCAGGCTAGCTCAAAAGACCTGGAAAGTGCCAGCTTCCTTCTGTAGTGTTATTGTATGGTCTGAGGGCCAGAGAGCCGTTGCTGTGGCAACAGATTTGTCAAATGCTGCTTTATTTCGGTGGGATGTCCAAAACAATGTTGAAAATAGGCCATGGGACTGCTGTGCGGCAGTGCATCAAAAGACCGGTTCAGGGCTGCTGGGGAAGCCCGATAGTGGTGGGCTGGGGTTCAGCGTGATGCCCTACAGCCTTTTTTGGGTGAATCAAACATGACACTGTGGCTTTTGGAGTTACTCCCTGGCAGCAGCCTGGGACCTTACACTTCAGGATGATTAGCAGAGCTTCTGCTTTCCTCTGAAATACACTTCAGACTATGAGGACAGCAGCCCTGCTGGACCTAGAGAGAAAAATTGGGGCATGCTAGGAAAGCTAGGAGCATGCAGTCACGTTGAACACTGGGGATAGCTGGGACTGTGTGGGTGAAGATGAGAGGTGTCCCGTCTTTCTCTAATTGCACTGTTGAACAGCACACTGGGAGATGTTAGGTGGCTGTTTTCTGTTTAGTCTCCCACATGGCTTTGCCCTGCAGCCACATAGCTGTCTTGGCCTCCAGACACTGGTGAAGTGTAGCTTCTTTTGGGCCTGTATGCTTCCTCTTCTCCAAAACTCTGCTCTGTCCCAGCTTTTGAGCTCTGCTGCGAGTTTGCTGAATTGCATTTCTGTGCCAAGGCTGGTTAGGCACCCACACACAGGCTGGTTGCCTGTCTGTCCTTTCATTTCTGTCCAAGGCAGAAAACAGATGGTTCAGTAGCTGCAGTAGTTCAGGGCAGTCAGTAGCTATGACAACTCCCCAAGCTGTTCTTGTAGCGGGTGTAAGGGAGCTAAAAGGCTTTTGTTTTAGCACTTACAAACTTCATTGATCCAGGAAGAAAGTTGCAAGAATAACCAGTTTTCTGTGCTACTGGGTCCATGAGCTTTTGGGAGGGCTTTTGGAGGCAGGGTTTGTAGGGATCTGTGTGGAAACATCTGAGGAACATCTGAGGTTGAGCCAGACTTTTGGCCAGGAAAGCTCACAGCAATCAATGGAGTGTTCCTGCAAAGGAGCTGGCTCCAATGTCCTTCCACCACTCTGTCAGGAGAATGGAGTACACCCTGTATCGGACAGAGTGCAGAGAAACAATTTTCATGCCAACAGGGATATATCAGTGCCCATGTGGCTCTCAGGTATAATGCTAGGAAGAATGTGAAGGTTAAAGCTGCCTAATCCTAATGAGCAAAATGATTCAGAGATGGTTATGAGTATTTGAAGCTGATTTTACTAGGTGTATCGTACCTGGAATGCCTTTCCCAGCTCTGTAGATGTTGTTGGACAATAAATTGTGTGGTTTTATGCTTTTGGGTACTTGCACCATTTGTAGTGTTGCACTTGTCAGCTGTGCAGTGTTAATCCTATCTGACCTGGATAGAGGTCTGAGACGGGACAAGACAAGAGGCCAAGAAGATGATAGGAACTCTACTGGGTGAAAGCAAAGGTTTGCCTGCAGTAGTGGAGGCCAGAGGATTCTCCCAACCTCCAGGTTTTGGCTTAGAGACTTGCTGAATTAGGAATGGGTCCCTGTATGTATGACCTTGAGGGATTTTTCTTCCATGAATTTGTCTAGTTGCTGCTTTATGAACCCACAAGAACTTTAAGCTTCTACAACATCCTGAAGCAAGGAGTTCCCCAGTGTAACACCATGTACAAGCAGAAGCAGAGTGTTGAACAGAGTGAGCCCAGCCAGAAATGAGCTTAAGGCAACAGGATGGGGAGAGAGAGTGAAAACACCAGCAGAAACTGGAGCTGATATTACTGTCCCAACCTTCAGCACAAGCATGACAGAAGAGGGTGGAGGGAATAGAGCTGTGCTTGAAGGGTAAGATCTGTGGTGTCCAGGTAAAGGGGTTAGAAGAGCAAGTGTAGGAGGCAAGCTTGTTAAAGTGACAATGTGGAAGATAGGTCTGAGAAGAGCTTTTACATATGCTAAATATCTGGGGAAAATGGAAATTTGAGAAGTGGAGAGGGGTAGATGGAAGTGATGGGGGAGACAAGGAAAGGAACAGAGGAGGGGGCACTGTAGGTCAGTCAGAGGTGCCCATCCCCTCAGCATCCTAGCTGCACCAGTGGCCAAAAGCAGATGTTGGGGAGGAGCATGATAATAGTTAATATACAGTATGATTCCCCACCCACCCACTTCCAGGGACTTCCTGAATCATAGGACTTTGTGTTCTTTGCATTCAATAATCTTTGAAGTTTTCTTACATTAATTTTTCTGGATCTGTATAAACTTTTGGCTTCCATAATATCCTGCAGGTGGTGATTTCCATGGTTTCACTGCTTACTCTGAACCTCCCTTCAGTTGTTCCAGCTGATGCCCATCAGTTTGTGTTTTATGGATGACAGCAAATATCAACTTCCTCTAGTCCTCTCCTGATTTTTATGGTTCTGTAGTAGTACTTCCTCCCACTATCAGCTGCCTCTGTTTCAGGCTGGAGGGGCTGATCCTGGGCAGTCTCCTTACATGCAGCCTTCCTGAGATGGACAAGACAGAAGCCCACAGCACTCAAGACTGAGCAGCAGTTTTCCCTCCTGGTATACATTTCTCCTCTGATACACTGTTTGTTTTTTGTACTGCTGTTAACATTAAACCAATGTGTTGGTAAACACTGCAGTATCCCTGAGGAGTCCAAGACTCCTTTCCTCGAAAGGGGCTAGGCTGGAGAATTAGATAAAAAACAGTGACATCTGAGTGCAAAGTAGACAAGAGTAACAGACAAAATGCTGTCCTTGTGGCAGGACAGTTGGGAAACTTCAGTTAGTCTAAGGCTCTCCTAAAGTTTGGATCCTGTGGCTTTCAACCAGCCTGTGGATGGTTCAGCTCCAGGCAGCATCTTGATGCTAGCACATGTTACGGGGGTGAAGAGAAGTGATGGTGACAGCCATGGTCCCTGGAGCTCTTGCAATGCTGAGCCTGATGGAGGTGGAAGGGAGGGGTGGAAGACCTCCATGTCCAATAAATACTACAAAGGCACCAGTGAGCTGGGGCTGGTTTTCCCATGCCATCCACAGGATGCTGCCAAGTTTGTGACTCACTGGAGAGATGCCTGCATAGTGTTTGTGAAATCAAATGTGACAGTAAAATCTGTTTCTGAGGACAGTACAAGTAGAAGCATGGGACACTGAGTCAGAGAAGAAAAACATCTTCCTCAGCTTTGATTCCAGTGCAGGAGTTGGGGCATTGTTCTTGAAACAGTGTGAAGAAGGCAGGAAGGTAATTCTTGAGGTCTAGGATGTGACAAGGTCCCCAGCTGTCCCACCAACATTTCTGCTTGCCTACAATACATAAAAATGTGTTGCTGAATTTAAATA